AGTACCGCGTATCCGTTGACAGCTGCAATGGTCGGCTTGGAGACGCCGGTCACCTTGTCCCAGTAAGAGAGAAAGTTTTTCATAAAGACGTCGGCAAACTTTAGGTCCTTCATTTCCCTGATGTCGGCACCGGCTTTAAGGTTGATTAGTTTTTGTTGTTGTGTAAGCTCAAAAGGGACCGCTTACCGGCAAAGGCCTTCTCCGATCCAGTAATGACAATGGCGGCAATTTTGTCATTGGTGTCAAAGGTCTGCAGCGCACTGACCACTTCCTTCATCAGACCATCGCAAAGGGCATTCAGCGCCTTGGGTCGGTTCAAGGTGACCAGGCCAACATTGCTGTCGGCGCCTCTGGTTTCGGTTTTGATGTACTCGTACGCTGCAACGTGAAGAGTCAACTTTGAGATTTGTCAACATGATGACCACGCTCTTACCTGCCGAGGAGAGACACCGAAAGGCCTGTCGGTGGGCGGCAGTGGCCGGAATAAGAACAAGCTTTCGCAATGAATTCATGTTGTGATCTTCAAATGTTGTGCTACAAGACGACAACACTGCTTAATAAAAGAAAAACAGACAAATGTACCTCGCTGATGCTGGCTGCTTCATATAGCCCGTCATCGAGTTGCGCTTTTCGCGCGAGATGTGCCTTCTCCAGACACCACTGATCAGGCCATCAAGCTGATACTAGATGTGATTAGCCTACTTGTTGTTGATGCTGGTGCTGAATACGGTCAGTGATTCAGTGAAACTGCTTGTCTCAAAAAAGTCCACACGAGTACCTATTGACCTTGCAGGTTGACCTGTGGTCTGTTTTCCCTGGCGCAAACACACTTGACAACAGTGTTTGTTGCTAAGGGCCTGTCAGTGGGATTCACCTTTTTCAGTGATAGGGACTCCCTTATCACTCCGGTTTGTTTATCGTACTGCAGTTCACTGTGGACAGTGTAGAAATCTCGACAAGTGTATTGTACGAATCGTCCTAGGGTGATGGTACTTTTTCAGTGCTCTTTTTCTCTCTCCAAATAGCTGTCAATCTAGAGAAACCCAAAAAGTCCAATGGGGGAGAAATTTTCCAGACAATGGTGTGTTTGTAAACAGTGCGCAAGTGTGTCACCCTGGCACATTTTCATTTGAGCACCAGCAGTTGCCAGTGTGCAGGCACAGTAAACCAACCAACGTGCACTGCAGTGGATTCTCCCTGACACTACCATCGAGAGGAGAGCTACCAGCCAAATTACTCACAATTACTAGCAAATTGCCTGTCATCCTGCAGCACAACACTGGTCAGTGATTGCAACTTTCCCTCTGCTCACAACAGACTTGCCTCTGCATCATCACAAACGCTACCTCTCATCATCAGCAGCAGCATCTGCATCAGTAATTCTTGCCGTTCCAGCATCAAGACTCTCTTCACTTATCAGCAATGTCTGCCATCATAGAAAAGGTATGCTTTTCCATATGTCATTATCATCAGCTAAAGATGCGCTCCTTGTCGACACGAGTTTCTTTCCTTTTTGTTTATCTTTACACCATCTGCATTGTCTGTGTATGCAGTAGCATCACTTGACGCACATACCTTTAGTGCACACTGTGTGTGTGCCCGTGAGCACACTTGGCATCATCTTTCCAATCCAAGTCTGACAGTGACGACTTGGACCGCGATTGCAACCATTTTTTTGCTAGTGAATTTATTAGTGTTGTCTCTGGGGATGTGTCTGGAAGATCGAACTTGAATTCACCTTGCTAAGCGTGACTACGTTTAGCAGTCAATCAGCCACTGACAGACTCATTGAAATCAATCTTTTTTTGAGGGTAATCAATTTGGTCTCTACCACTATTACATAGTTTAGTACAGTTGCACCTTTCGCTTTCATTCTTCGCCTGGCACGCCACGTCTTCATCAGAGCGACCCACGTCTCCCTGAAGAAGTTCTCAAGTTGCACCGTATGCAGTGTGTTTGGCGGGCAGTGCAATTTGTAAGATGTGCAGGTGTGTTCATGTAAGCGTGTATGTATTGTGCTGCATCACAAACAGATAGATGCCACCAAGAGCCGCCAATGTTGAATGTTTGGCCAATTGAAGAGGTAGATAGAGAGCCCGCCAATCGCCAGCTACTGGCTATCCTTGCAACTCTCCTACATTTGCATTCTCATAAGGTTTTTCTTCCTGCGCAGAGCTAATCACTGTTTAGCTTCTGGTCAACGCTTAGTTAATATTAGTAGTCTGATTAATTTTTATACATGGTCGTCCTTAGCTCTCTCTTCTAAATGAAAAGACTACAGTTTTATTTGTAACTTTGAGCTCACGTTACATAAAGAGCTTGAGATAATTAGAATGCGAAATCGATAACTAATGGCACAGCCGCAGCCCTGAAGATAATGACACTGAACAGATTTACACACGTTGGACATGCATCTACTTTT